ACGCAATTGGGAACCGATGACATGTGTCAACCAAGTCAGTGAACCTGACCACCCGTAAGATAAGTATAGTTCCAAGGTATACTGAAAAATGATTGAAGGATGTACACTGCTGGAATATAGTAACTGCAATATTTGATTATTACATCATGTGGCAAGTCTAAATTTCCACAATTTCAGGAATGAAGAAAGTCTCAGGGCTCCTTTCATTATATATATATTTCTAATTATGAACTGTGTTTTTTCTGTAAAATATGTTCATTTCAGAGACTAGTTGTCTGTCAACTCCATTTCATACCAAGCGTGTTCGATAAGGGACGGGTTCAGAGAAACAGCTGGCAAGGGGATTACCGGAATGTTCTTCTGTCTCAGGAAATCTGTCACAACACGAGCGACATGTGGACGGGCGTTATCTTGCTGAAGCGTGAAGGTACGTCTCTGTCCTTGAATGAACGGTGTCACTTTCAGAGGCTAGAAAATAATCAACCGTTCTTCAATTTTCAATATCATGTGTGTGAAAAAAAAGCAATAAGTGAGTAAGTTCATTGTACACAAAGTGCACGTGATAAGCGCGAAAGGCGACATCACATTTCATGCGAAACGCTTTGCTACATGTTTACTTAGGGTTATTTTTATACTTTTCCCATTAGTTTATATAAGACAAACCACGTGTCACCAAGTATGAGTGAGTGAGTGAGTGAGTTTATCGCCGCTTTGATCATTATTGGATTTATCTCATGGCATTACAACTTAAATGGGGAGGAAATAGCGAAGTGTTGTAGCTCTAAGGCTTTACCGCTTTGCTAAAAACATAGCTATCGGGAGGTTTCGATGTGGAGTTGCCCCACTACGGATTGAAACATGAAGATAATAGCAACACACCTATCATTGAGAGGACAAGTTTTAACTGCACAGACTCGGTTGAAGATGAGAGTCACTTTTTATTACACTGCCCTTTATATACATCTTATCGGTTAGACCTTTTTCGTCATTGTAATCATGTGTGCAATAATTTTAGCAATTTTACGGATGTACAGAAATTAGTTTTTTAATTACATCAAATCCCGATATTGTTCAATTTACTGCCAAAATCTTTGCTGTATTTATATATTATGTATTTCATGGTGTTCCTAAAGTTTACCAAATAGTCTCTCATAACCCTAAACGGGTTGCTCACTTGTATTCTGTATTATTATGTGTATATGCCTTGAATTTTGCATGTGGGGTGGCACTGAAATACATAATCTGTCTGTCTTCCTGTCTACAAACGCGGGTTGTGGTATGGTGTAGACCAACCGAGAAACATAATCGGGACGAGCTGGGATTCGAACTCACGAACTCTTCGGTGTCCAATGGACACAACTGGGCAAAGCGTGGCCCCTTATGCTAAAATGTCTATATGATAGCAATGACGTCATATACGCATACAATTTGGGAATGGGCGCAAGTTAGATTTCGAGTCGCGTGTAACATAAAAGGAATACCATGTTTAAACATTAAATTCTGAAATATTGTTGATTGCATAAAATCATAATCTGGTAAGAAATACACTTCGAGTGTCGCTGGCTGATTTTGTCAGTGTGACATTGAAATCCCCAACTATATTAGTTTAAAGGCTTTCCGAGCATGTGCAAAGACAGGTTTTCTTCAAATACCTTGTAAATGGAGCAATGCATGCCACATTCCGCCAGCATTGAACGTTCACTCTATGCTTTGGATGTATCCGAGGGTCCCCTTGACTCAGAAATAGCCAATACAGGTAAGTTCCAGAACACTAGCATCTGTAGCAGCCCCGGATGTATGTAAAAACAGTGTTTGTTTGTTTGTTGTTTAACGTCGCACACATCAATATGCCAGCTATGTGGCGGCTGTCTGTAAATAAGCGACCATACAATCCAGTGATCAGCAGTATGAGCATCGACCTACGCAATTGGTATACGATGACGTGTCAACCAAGTCAGCGAGTCTGACCACCCGATCCCATTGGTTGCTGTAAAACCATATTCTCTTGAACCCAAACGGCACAAGATGAAAAGGTTGGTACTAAAAATCAATAACACCAGGTGTTCACGAAAAGAGTAGGCATGTCTCGTTACCCTAAGATCCTCACGTATACACATTCGCACAAAGGGTCACATCCTTTTCAAAGAATACTTTAACCAAAATCCGTATTTATTTAACCTTCATTTTCGTCAAAATAAGATTCGTATCAACTTGATCCCTTAATAACACAATTAAGTCTTGAACTAAATATTTTGCAAATTAAAAATCCCACACCTTTCTGTTTCCTATAAATTGAAACTCCAAGTTTACACCCTTCTGGCAAAATTCATCTTTTTCATGTCACCGCAATACGTTTTGGGAGTTACCCGCCAGGTTCTATTGTAGCAGAGATCGGAGGCCATGCTGGTAGATGTCATTAATTACTAGTTAGACAGAGTGTGCAATAAATGTGACACAAAGGGAGGTACACCCACACCGAATCAATCAGAAACTCATATTTTCGTCAATGATCCGTGCAGTACTTCAAATAAAGGAGGGGCGTGACCTGGTAATTTGTTACCTATGTTGCTACCTACAGGTTAATTAATTGCCCAGGTAAGGGGTAGGATTACCTGGAAGAAACTTTGATGTTTCCGACAATATGTTTTAAAATTAATGACGCGTACACGATTGTGGTGTTGCGTCACATATAAATCTTCTCAAGCGTACATTACTGTTGACTGCTCTGTGACTAGCTAGGACAGACAGACCGTGACATTATAGTACATTTTACGATTTTCAAAATAAATCTTTATCCACAAATCCTTGAATGGTTTGATAAATATTTGAAAAACATCGTGTCTGATAAGTGAGAAATGCTATGATTCGTAGTATCTATCATGCAGGTGTTGTTTCACAGGGCTCCAGATATTTTTTCATGATCAGGAGTACGTACTCCTTATTTTTTCAATAGGGGCCTATAGGAGTACTGGAAAACGATAAGAGTACATTTAGAGTACTGAATGGAATTTAATGGAGTATCTTGTGTTTTGTTTCATATATGCACCACAACATTGCTACTCTTGTGTAAACAGGTCAATAAACAATAAAACAACACTCTTTCAGATAAATACGTCTGTAAATGATTCCAAGACGGCACACCATTGCTGTGGTGCGTATCTGCTACGTTTTCTAAATTATTTCATACCGTATCGTGCTTATTTTATATCCGTACATACGCCGATACGGCCTTTATCTGGAGCCCTGGTTTCATATACTTTGCTTACTGTAACTTTCCCTCCGTATTTTGTTGTGCGATGACAATTTGACTTGCCTTGGCATGTGTTTGTGATGGATGCTATCGGTGCGGCAGGATCCGCTCGTATTCTGACACGCAAGTATCTCTCTTTGGTGGTTCATGAACTCGTGCTTGTGGTATAGCCGTACAGTCGACCTATCGTTGTGAAACTGCGTTCCTCAGTGTGAGGAACGTGTGTATTTCACAGGAAATTATTACGCAATGCAATTGAAAAAGTGGTCAAATGTAACATGTGTAATAATTCGGATTACACTTTCTTCGTAAAGTACAGATTCTACTGAGTACTTTTGTTGGGTTGAGTCCCATCCGGGATTCGAACCCACACCCTGCGAGTCAGGCACCTGAACGCCAGCACACAAAGTCAGAGCCGCATAACCCGCTCAGCCACTGCGACTTCCACAAAGGAGAGCTCGTGCAGGAAATATGGTCGCCATGTGCTAGTGTGTTAATGTTCATGGCCACCTAGAGCTGGACCATGCTGTAGCTGACAATATAATACACCTTCCCATCTCGTCAGGGTACCCGCGAGTCCAGACAGATACCCTTCCATAATGTTATGAAATATCAACTAACAGCGGAGTCCATTGTATGACATTTCCAATACATGTCGTGTACGACAAAAAGATGGCCATGACTAATTGATCGCTCCGTGACAAACACGTGCAGAGTGAAACATATTGTGTCGTCAAAATAGGAAAATTGGGTGAACACATTTAGCAGATCAGAATCGGAAGTATATCAGGCACTGATAGCCCAGCCCGTTGTTCTCAAACGGTTCCTCTGTCACGTCAGTACGACTGTACACTATACAGGATAACGTCTTGTAAGATGCTTGAGATCGGGTAATACGCTCATGGTTATACGAACATAGTCAGCACTGGGATCCTTGCATGTGAAGTTCCAGGAAGTCAACTACATGCAAGAGCGTGGATGTTTAGGGTATCTGCACCATGTGGACATTGCTTGGTGACTCGAATGAGTGAGTGTGTTTAGTTTTACCCCGCACTCAGCAATATTCCAACTATATGGTGGCGGTCTGTAAATAATCAAGTCTTGACCAGACAATCCAGTGATCCCATTCGAATGAGCAATGCTTACAGTCGTTTCTTGTCATTACAAGACCTATAAAAAAACGGTTGCTATGGGTGCACAAGACCCATCTTGGAATATCCTTTCACAGCTGTGAAGACCGGTTCAGTCATTGTATAAGATAGATAGGTAAAACAGACTCGTGGTATATATTTGCCTTAGCACTAGCGGGGGGCGTTTATTGCATCAAATGGTTCAAGTCCGTGGACATAGCATACAAACACATAGCTGTACAAAACTTGTGGGATTTCACATGAATCAGTAATGTCAAGCATTAAGTCAGTAACTTCAAGCATCAATTTGCATTCATCCCTGCTTTCGATTCTCAGCACCTTCTAGGGATTTACTGGATACAATTCATTTCAAGCATTACCTTTCATTAAAACAATCTTTTTTTGTTTTCAATCCTCACAAAAAAGGGTTTAATTAAAACATTTAAAATGTTTTCCAATTATACATAGCTATAAAATAATTTAGATAATTTATCCCTTCATATATTATGTTGTATATACACTATGTATAAAACAATTCATCCGTCTCGCTTTCTCTCACACACATATTTACATATTTATAAATAGTCAACAATGGTAAAAACAATAACAATGTATGGTCCCTAGAAGCGGAGACAGCGTGTTCGTTTCTTCTCGCCAGCGGTCCACGACTTGGCCTTGGTGCGGAAGTGACGTAGGTCAGAGGAGTAGTCCTCGTGCAACATTGGGGTGTATGTCTGAGGATCGCACAGATTCTGGAGAAAAAGAGTAAATCATTGGTATTTTTAATAAAACCAAGACAAGTAATAAACGGATTAATGTATATCTTTTTTATAAGAAATCGTTTATGAATCATAATCCAAGTCGTAATTGAACTGAATCAAGTCTATGATGATCAGTGGATGCATACCTGGTGTTGTTCGAAGAAAGCCTTGTAACCACCCTCTAGGATGTAGATTTCAGGATAATGCAGCTTGGGGTAGTGTTCGGAGTTCATATTACGGTCTTGAGAGCGAAGAAAACGCAACCTGGAAAATAAACATAAACATCATAAGAAACGTCAGTGAGTGAGACTTTCCCTAAATTCTTGCAATATTTAGACAATATCGGGGAGACAATACATGTGGATATTACACAGCATAAATTTACATAAAATTATTTTCAAAATACGAACCAGAGGGAATGATGAAAATAATACTTACAGAGAAGGGCCTCTCTTGGATGAGAACTCGCAGTGGAAGACGATAACACGTCGCTTGTTGGTCGGGCCCATCTTTGTTGTTTCTTCCAGGAGTTCGTTGATCTGGTCATACGTGTACATGTTGACAGCACCCTGCGGGAGGAAAGGGAGATAACCGTCACTTCAGGTCAGGATAACATCAGTTGGGTAACCAACAATAGGATCGTTACAGGACAGCGAACGATTTATGGCCGACTTGCGTAATGGGATTTAGACGGATCAACGAGGAATGTTAAATATAGTTCTCAAAGGGAAAAAACACGTTAGAAGTTGACGTCAATTGAATCTTTGTTGGCATTGTTTATAGTACTTACAGAGATGTGACCTCCTTCATATTCGTAAGGGTATCTGCAGTCGATGATGGCGTACTCGTCGACGGTGTCAGCGTAGTGGCCGCAGAGGAGGTGGGCGATTGTGGTGGGGGACACAGACTTAAGATCCTTGTGTTTACCTTGCTGAAGGGGCAGGGCGTATGTCTGAAATAATAATAAAATAATGACAATGTGTTTGGAAACTATAAATAATTTTTAAGAAGTTGTAAGAATGATCTACTGAGACACAGAAACAAGTATTAGCAGTTACTTAAGGAGATCAACGCCAGAACGTTTTACGTCTTTATCAACTGCAGTGAGTAGTCATGAGCAATATATACCTTGCTTCCGTCAGCAATGAGCTCAGCACTTTCCAGGCGTTCAACTGCTGCCTGGATTCTCAGTTGCTCGTGAGATGGGGGAGCAGGGGAGGACGGCTGCTGGAACAACAAAACAGAATATTACACCTGGGTCGACTGGGTTATCCGAAACACATCGGGCTATCTGACCTCAATCGTAAGTCCGAGTCTTACGTAAGAGACAGGAATTTGTGGCGATTTTAGGATGAAATGGCTGAGTTGGTTCAAACAGTTGGAGATTGAGGGCTACATCCCGGGGCTCTCACTGAGCTCCTATGGTAACGACCTATGGAAACACGGACAGGGGTGCGTGATTTCCCTCAATACTGCGGGTAGTTTCTTTGATACCCAACACGAGACGCAAGCCTTTGATATCCACCTCTCAAACAGTGGCTAGAAAATTACACATTTTAAGCTCGCTTTGCCTCATTAATTTGTCCAATTGGGAGGAGATATCTTCCTGAAATGAGCTCGGGAAAGCTGAGACTGATATTTAAGGACGACATACACGAATTCCCATGTCTGATTGTGGTGTTGATTTTATTCGAGATATAAAGGAATTGGATTTACCTGAGGAATTACGTTCTCTTCTCCAGACAGTCTAAGTCTCCTCATCTTGGTGGGTCTACGGGTGGGACGACATTCACCATCGTAGGGGGAGGTGTTTTGGCTCTGGAACAACTTCTTTCTCATGTCCAGGGAGTTGCATCGTCGTAGTGGGGTTCTGATGGAGAAGTCTTTGCCGTTCTGTGTGAGGGACTGGTTGGTCAGAGACTCCAGGGGGAACATGCCGAAGTCCATATCCTCGGACTGAAAAGTAACAAGAGCACCATGAAGAAATACTGTCTTGTCGACATAAAGCGTCATAAACCACTCAATAGTAACTCTCGTTGACAGGTAATACACGCATGGACATTCGCTTGTAAAGGTTGTTGAACACAATAGCTATTCGCCTTGTTTTCTTGCCAACAGACGTTAGATGGGATTACATCAACAAGCACAATTTACAACCTAGAGTGGAACACACACACAATGCGTTTCGTCGTCACAGAATGAGCAAGCCTTTCAGCACGTTATTGGCTATTTTTCAACGTGTTTTGTATAACTCTTTACAATGGACTTTGGGGGGTGAGTGATCCAAGCGAGTGTGAAATTAAGTACCTTGCTGAATTCGCCGAGACTGTGACTGGTGTCATCGTCAATGCTGATGTAGCCAGACGTCACCGAACCGGGGCTGTTGAGGAAGATGTCGGCTGCTTCCATCTCGCAGTCGTCGAAGTCCAGCATCATGTTGATTCGAGAAGCTGAAGAAAATTCACCGATGTTACTCATGGTCAGAAACACATCTATCAAAGTCCGAATGTGAAGTGTGTGTCAGCTTACACCTCCGTTCAGGGTAATGGCCGGGAGCCACCTGCTTCCAGTGCAGACGACACAAAGATATTGATGTGAAGACGACAAAGACAAGACTATGAGCAGACGACAGTTGACAACAATGGAGGTGACGGACGACAGGAAGTGGCCTAGGTCGTGTTAACACAGACTGACCTCGAGACGCAACAATATTTGTCCCCTATCGGTCTGGTGTTTGGAAAGGCTAGCGCCCCTGAAGAGTCCTTCTCAATAGTAAATCTGGTTATCCCCTACCCTAGGGCTCGTACCCGAAGTGTAACGAATACTAGTGAAGACACTCCAGTTGGTCCGCCGGAGGGACAGCTTGCCTGCGAAAACTGACGGTGCGAGATTCTTTCAGACAGCGGAGAGACGATTGTTACTGCATATACTATGGAGACATACCTTCAATGGACAGGATGCGCCTAAGGTTCAACACACTGTCTAGTCACTAGGGCACGGACTATTTGATCCTCTATACAGCTACGGTAATTAGCTAATCTGTTGCTAATCTATTCAAGAACTGAATACAAAAGATTTCTAATTAACCTATCAAGCAACAGATTTATGATGACCCCGGGATTTTAAGGAATATCAACCAGAATTTGCATGAAATTGAAAGAAAGTACGATTGGAATAAAGCTGGTGACCTCACAAGATTTTTCTAAATATGGAAGCAGCGTAATGTTACATCTCAAGCCGTCAATCTAAGGTCGTTACCCTAAGGTTTACCCTGAACAATCTTCCTGTTCATAACAACACAACGCACACAGACCCGAGGCAAAATTCAACTTGAAACACTGACCCCAAGGATTTGACCCTTTCCCGCTACATACCTGACCTCTGTGTAAAGATAAACATGTTTATGTTACCTAATCAAGGGGCTCGAAGCGAGTTCACTAACCTCAGGTAAGGCAGGATTTGCTCTGAGTATAATCATATAAACATCCTCATGATAGGACATGGCAGATAGCGCACGATATAAGACACAAAACAACTTTGAATTGACAGTTGCAACAATAAAACCTTATACCTGATATACATCCTTCTCTCACTATGTCCAGCCCCAAATCAGCTTATGGTATATCTTACATAAACCCAAGCAAGCTTACGCCGATTGCCCAAGCGGGCGCTATTGTTCGACTTAACCCGTGACTCCCTCTAAGTAAGCTTTACAAAGTTGACTTTTTCTGGAACATATATTATCATCTGTGTGAACCGTTTCGTTTTAACCCACTTCCGGTTTGTCGTTGCCAACGAAACACTTTTTACTGTCCTTAACATAGTAAAATGACCCACTTTTCAGGTGAGGTGAAATTGGGTTTAATGTCGTGCTTGAGAATATTTCGCTCATATGAAATATGCCGAGCGCCAGGCAGGGACCAACAAGTACCATATTTTAACGTCTTGGTATGACGCGGTCGGGGATCGAACCCGCGACCTTCCGCTCTCCGGGCGGGCGCTCTAACCACTACACAACGGACCCACTTTTGAAGAAGAGTTGGAAACCGTCAGAATTGACTGTAACAATGTTTTTCAAATGCCTTACCTTCACACATCGTGTTGAAATGTTGGTACGATATCCCAAACGGAAGAGTCACAAGTTGGAATAATAATCCTGATTATCGTTTGTATCACTGACAGTTGTTGAACTCGAGATGTTGTCCGAATGAAAGCACAAGGCAAGTGATGCTATCCCCTCAGTCCACGGGAGTATATATGCCACCAGCCCAACAATTTCACACCTTCTGTCGTCTGCTCATCTTCCAGCAATTTCATTGGCTGACGCATCGCTGAATATATGCAAATGACTTCCCTTCACCTTGGCCGTGTGACGTAAGCAGCCAGCGAAGCATAATCGTCTTCTTGACAGGGGCCGCCCCTTTCTGTCGCCTCGTGACGACTGGTCAGCAATCAGCACACGACACGGATGGGTGATGGCTGGTCACCGGTCACGCCTGACTGCGGCTTCAACGATGACCATATCTCATTGTCCAGACATAGTTTGCACGGACATTAATGGACCCTGATAATTATGTTACATCAGAGTGCCCTCGGACAAAAGGTCATAGATTGACCCCTTTCGGACGAAGTTAGGACACCAATCCTCCAAACTGGGTGAATTTTGCTAACGTGCTGCCGATGGTCAGTTGACATTGACATGGTGGCACCTTAACGTGTGAGGAATGGTCAGAGGGTGGCACCAGACCAAGTCGGACAATCTGGTAGAATGTTTGTATCGTCACCTACACGATGCTTGAAGTTTCCTGCAAACAAAGGAAGAAACATCCCCATTTTTCAATAGAACAGTTCTAGCATGAACAATGTTGATAAAAGATTCATTTATATTTTCATTCATACCTCTACAAACTGTAAATATATTTTAAACATACCAGAATCAGTTTAAGACGTTTTCACGTGTAATAGGTTAATATGTTTGATAATATGTAAATTACAGTATGTTACATGACATTATTACATCGTTGGCATAAAACATTTGGAGATAGAGAGACACAAACAAAACATTTTTGGAAACTATCAAATGGTCGCATTCGCAAACCTTTGAACTTTCATATAGCAAAGCAAATAAGATTAATTTTGATATGTTACAAATTAAAAATGAGCGAAAACTTCCGCCTCTCGTGTTTAGTATGTATTGAAAACTATTACATATGTTTAGAGGTCAATTGGGAAGGCCTGGCAGGTGTGTCGAACATAGTCGTGCGTTTGTGATGAACTTGTGTTTCTAGCAAGTTGAGTGTTCTCATAACATAACTGGATTGGAGCCACCTTTTGAGTACAATGATCAGGTCACAATAGAGGTTTTTATTACACCATGGTACAAGGAACTATGACAATGCAATATAACGTTATCGTGTTGTTTACATAGAAACGCTTATGTGCAATATAGGAAATATGGCAGATATATATTCACATATATAGTGGGAAAACACTGTCACATGAGTGCATTTTTATTTGTATATATCTGCATGTGATGTCGTTTCATTGTCCATTTAGTTACGTTTTCGACTTAATGTGTATGCAGTATTTCATTACAGATGTACAAATATCTATAGATTGTCGGAATGGTTACTTAGAATACCGGTGTTAATCGTATCAATACACATAGGATATGTCACATGCCTGTTACGATATGGATGTAGATTACACCTGCAAGGTTTTAGCAACACGTGTACATCATTAATCAATATACAGTTTCCTTGTATATTTCACAACGTAATAAAGCACATCATAGAAAACCTCTAGCTGTTATGTAAGTGTATATTCATAAAGATCCATGTCAGAATCATTAGGTATATATTTGGAGAGGCAATCAACGTGTTTACATTTATTACAGGAAATGAACCCAACTTTGAAATCGACAACTAAACAAACAAGTTGATAATCAATCAATCAACATCGGTCGTGGTAAAACGTGCGCGACAAGGGGTGCATTTCAAGCTAATTAATTTAACAGGTGCGCGTGTACTACCGTTTCGCTTCTTTGGTAACAAGATCTATGGTTGGCTTGGGTGTCCAACGTCTTTTATTACCTTGATCTTTCAAAATTACGGATATTGAAGGTATGCGTGATAATTTATGCCTTCAGTTGCAATTCGTATGTTAATTTGTCGGTTTAGATTTCCTTATTACTCTTTTTGTAACGACTGCATTTGAATTCTATTTGCATGTTGTTGTTTTCTAAAAATGCAGTTAACATGTTTTGGTTCGGTCTGGAGAGGGGATTATGTTTAAATTTTCCTTGAATTATATTTGTGAATGCGATTACTAAGTCTTTCAGAAAATATTATGACCATTACAGTTTAATATTTGTTTTTGGGGTTGACTTAAAACATACGACGACTGTAAGGACAGGCTGTTGTGAAACAGACACCACTCAGTTGATCTCTCGTTATGCTGTATTGTCAAGGGTTTGTTTATGTCAATGTTTGTTTATGTCAATGTTTGTTTATTACAAAGATCACACGTGACGGTCACGCTGTCCACAGACACGCTGGACAACTCTAAATATTTTATCTTAGTATTACAAATGAATCTGAAAAGCGCTGACACTGATTTTAGACTTGTAAATGGACGAGAAAGAAAAGTAACAGGATTGAAACCAATGTGAATAAAATGATGTATTCGTATATCTATATTCCTTGCAAATCACAGCGCGGTAACAAATTCTTCAAACATGATTTCATGGTATCTAAATCAATAAACGGAATACAAAACATATTTCACATATATCATGATAGTTCAAATGCTGTTTAATTACGTATATAACTAACATTGATGTAAGACGGTCACAGCTCCCCAAAACGTGTTTGTGAATAGATATCAAGAAGAGTTGTATTTCATGTAATCTATATATATTTATATATTTTAAATATATTATATTTATGCAATGGTCAGTATCGATGACGTCAAATCCTCCTTTTTCATGTTGTATTATATGTTGCATGGGAGCGGTGTTAACATAAGCAGTAATGCTTGTTCACCAATCCCAATTCATCTTCATGAATAAAAATATGTTTAAATCATATCAAGAAGAGTTGTTTTCAGTCTTAATCGCCATGCAGTGATCTAAATATGAAATAGATGCGGTTATGATTTGTATATTGAGAGACAGACATGGCAATTAGTCTGTCTCACAGTCCCTGAACCACATTATTTTCCCTACTGCCAAGCCCTCTCTGCAGTGCTGAAGCCCTAAATAAAGCAAGTCTAGATTTCCTCAGGTTCAGGTTCTGAATCTCTGGTCTCCCTGGGGCTCCTTTTCAATTTAAATGGGCTTGTTTATTTCTATCAAAATTATATATATTCAGAGACTAAGCATTAGTCTAACATGGGTATGAGTGGCAACGGGAAAAGTCTTCACGGTCAAGCCGAGTTTCCGCCAAGCTTG